GGGGGGGGCTGCTGAGTAGGCGGCCAAGTCCACCTCACCATGTCGGCTGGTCTTCTGTCCTAACCCTGGGTCCCCGCGCCGCAAACTACTAAATCGGAAAAATGAGCTTCGGTCAGTGTTCGAACCTACAACCATCTGAGTCCCGGGCGCGCGCTCTACCAACTGAGCCAATGATGAGGCTTTGGCACAAGTGAAGCTTACCTCCGCTGTGGCTCATCACACCCCGGCTGGCAGAGGGGCGAAAGGGTTCCGTCGACGAGATTCGAACCAGCGACTGTTTGCGTACCGGCCCATCACGTCAGGTGCCGCACGGCTGTAAAGTCATGGCCAGCGGAGCGCGAAAAATATCTCCCGGCCGAGATTCGAACCAGCGACCAGGTTCATACCAGGCCCGGACGCTACCGACTTGGCCACGACGGAACGATACAGAGTACAGCTTTCGGCGGCATCCAGATCTCAGCTGTGACTGACGCCCGAAGACACCCAGCAGAGCAGGAAAAATGACCGTGGACGGGATTCGAACTACCGACCATCCCCACGATCTGCCAACGATCACGCTTTAGCACCCTCGGCTACCAGCTTGCTCCTCCGGGACTGGGGTCTGGGCTCGGTCCTGCCCAACGGGAGACAAAAAGCGACAAAGAAAAAGTTTGCCCCGCCCGGGAGTTGATCTTAGGGCCGACAATTTTGGTTCGGATGAAGCAGCATGCGGTCATGTCGACTGTAGCTGCAACTGTATCACTACAAAAGGGGCGTGTGGCTGGTGGCGTCGGACATCGTATGCTGCCCCATTTGTGACCACATTTTTGTGTCCATGAACAGGGACGTGTCGCCGCGACACGAGTTGTCGCTCGGACGCCTGCGAGGTAGGCCACACGTCGTCTCTCTAAGGCGTCTGTCGGGACGGGGACTTTGGGTTCAGGCTCCTTTTGACTCCAGGCTCATAAGCCCTTTCTAAAGCTAAGAAGTGACGCCGTGTCAATCTCGGCATGGGTCGATGATTGTCTGCTGGTTGATATGCTAGCATTGGCGGAAGTAATAAATTCGTCTATAGACGGTTCAGTTTAAGCTGACTCGGGCACTGTCGGCTGTAGCTCCGATCGTGTAGCTACAAACAGGGACGTGGCTGGACAGCCGAGTGGAGGAGATGCCCGCGAGGCAAGTGGAGCACGTTGCCAGCAGCGCCCCCAAAACAGTCTTGACTGCCTTGACACCTCCGGTAGTCTTGTCAACCTTGTCAACCTTGACGGCACTGACAGTCTGGACAAACTTCGAGGACTCGGTTGCCCCCCCCCCCCTCCGATACCCTCGGCCACTCCGGCGACAAATGTATTCTCTGCTGCAAACCCGGAGGAAAGGGTGGGTCACCTCGCTGGCATCTCACTCACCTGCCATACTTATCGTTGCTCAGCACGTCGAAGCCCTGGGCGGTTGTGGCGGGAGACCCCTGCGGACAGCAGAAAGGAAAGCGTCGCCGTGAGAACCCCCTGCCCCTGCATGCGTGTACTAGCATCCCGCAGTGACCAAAGAGGTGACCGTGTCAACTCAAAACAACCAAAACCGTATCAAAGTACACCGGTGTTATTGCGACCAGTCCGTTTCTCTCCAGACAAGTTTATGGACTTTTATGGACGTTTAAGTGCAGTTACTTTAACTTGATTCAAGTTGTTGTTGCTGTTGTTTCTCAACGTGACAGGTGACACTACCCCCTGGAGTACAGGGAAGTCAACATCTCTGCCCTCCCGGAGCAGCAGCATCATGCTATCCGAAATGGGCTAACGTGGCCTGCTCGACTTCACGCGCCCCGGCGATCTTTTGCCCCGACAGCGGGGAGGCACTGCTCACTGGCTCCTCTGGCACAGAGAAAGGCTGCTAGGCGATGATCTCCCGTGTCACACGACGCCATCAAGGTGGAAAAAGAAACGCCCGCAGAAAAAAAAGAAAATCAAATCACATACGGCGCTGGCGCACAACTCACCATGTTGCCACGCACTTGATCGGAAGACACGACCTCTCGCGTAGTCGTCTACGCTTGGAAAATAAAGTCGAAACGGTGACACCCCCGGTCAGGCCGGACGCCGCGCGCGGTGCACTCTGAGCTACGCCCTCGAGAGAACTGAAGCACTCGGCGGCCCGGCGCGCCCGCTCACCGCCACCCGCAACCCCTTGGGCTCGCCCCTGTGGGTGCCAGCAGGCGCACCCCCGAGCACACCGATGAGCAACACGGGGGACCTTGGCAAGGGGGGGATGCTGCTCTTCAGATTAGGATTCACAGACGCGAAGCTTCTGGGCAGCGCCGGGGACGACGAGAAGGGAGCTCGGCACTGGCAGAGGGCGGGGCGGGGCTGAG